AAGTTGCTGGAAACATGACAACATTCCTGTGAATCCTTCAGATTAAAATGTCTCGGGTCGCATATATAATTTATAAGATAGTTTAAGATAAAGGAAAGCAATTTTACAGGTGTCTCTTTCCTAGCCTCCCCAGTTGGTAAATTGGAAGAAAGGCACAGGCCCTTGCTGGGAAGTAAGCCATACTCATCAGAAATGTGTTAGAAGCAATTTGGGACATTTTGAACACCACATGCATGCCTACATTACATCCAGGCTCGACTATGCCGACGCCCTGCTCGTCGCCCTTCCAAAGTCTTCCCTCCACAAGCTGCAGATCATCCAGAACTCCTAAGCGTGTGTTCTCTGCCACACCCGGCTCTGTGACCCCATCACACCCACCGTCACCCAGGTCCACTGGTCCCCCATCCCTCACAGGATCAAGTTCAAAATCCTCACCTTCGAGGCCCTCCATGGCCTTGTCCCCTCCTAACTCTCCGACCTGCTAACCCCTCACCCCTCTCTCCGCTCAGCAGGTTCCGGCCTGCTCCATCGGCGGTCGGGCCTTCAGCCTCTCTGCCCCCACCCCCTGGAACTCCATCCCATTCCCTTCGCCTCACTCCCTCGCCTCCTTCAAGGCACACCTCAAGACCCTCCTCTTCAACCATGCCTTCGGCCACCCTCCCTGATGCCTTCCCCGGGTCCTAATCCCTGACTGTTCAACGCCTCGGGCTGTCCTCCCGACATGTAAGGCACTTTACAAATGTAATTTTGGATTGTATTTTGCATTGTATATGAAAAGGAAGGATTATTATTGCTGTAGATCTGTACTAAATTAGTTTGTTCCAGTCAGTCATTGCAGCCATTGGAGTGTTACAATTAGCTTTTGGATTCCATAAAGTGAAGAGCACGTAAAAGACGGTCAGGCATTCCCAATTGATATCCAGTGACCTTTACTAGAAAGTGCAACTGGGGAAAAGGGCAAAATTATCTTCATGTATGGTAATGTCTTTGATCGCTTCACAGGAATGAGGTTGGACCAAGCAAAGAGTAGTGGGAGATGGCTATAGGCCATTCAAAGAGGCAGGTTTTGACACACACTTAAAAACAGAGAGAAGGGTAAGACATAGTGGTAGAGGAAGGAGTTCCAGAAATTAGGAACTAAGGCTCGGCCACCGATGACAATATAAAGAGGGAGGAAGACAAGCAACAAGCCTACATTAGCTGAGTGAAGAGAGGCAGGTGGTCAGATTAGGGTAGATCTAACATAAGAGGGTACCAGGGAGGGGATGGATTTGTAGATAAGGACGAGGACCTTGAAATTAATCTACTGGGAGTTATTGGACACTAGTGAGGCCTAGGGTAACAGATACACGGAGTAGGTTTGGTTGAGGATATGGTTTTGGACGAGATGCACCTTATGGATGGTGGAGCTAGGGAGACCAGCGAGGAAACGTCTAAGCGGGATGTGATGAAAGTGTTTCAGTGACAGTGGGGTGAGCTGTGGACGATGTGGCAGAAGCTCATCTTTGATGCCCTTTAGAATTCAACATCCTACCAGACACTTAACAATCCAGACGTTCATCAAGATAGCAGTGGCCAATCAGCATTTGGAAGCTTTTGCCAGGAAGAGCTAGTGCCTTCACGAGAGAAGTGAAAAGCTTTTCTAGTTCAGCTTCGTGTCCCCCCTGTTCTACCATCAATGAGGAGGCTTTCTGCCATTCTGCCCCCACTATCTGGAACAACATCCCAGAATCCTCCCAGCTTGCTCCCTCCCTCCCTCCCCCTTTCATTCAATGCCTGCCTCAAAGCTTTTCTGTTTGAGTATGTTTGCAGTCATCGTTCTGCTACCCATCCCCAGCTGGGGTGCCTAGTCATCACCGTCAAGTGCTTTAAGATGTCCTCCCACTGTGAAAGATGCTATAATAAATTAAATATGTATTGTATCACATTCACTGTGTACTTGAAATCAGTGGTTTTGTTGCATTGAATATGTGAAAATCTGGGAAGACACCACTCCTGATCCAAGGACATTGTTTTTGTTAAAACGAGTTACATAATTCAGTGGAATCAGTTGCATCACCAAATGGGTTGAACCAGCTCGGTTTCATCCAGGAAAATTTTAATTCCATTGCAACACAGAGAACATTGGAGAAGGTGAAAAACCCTCTCTAAAATAGGTCAGGACTTATTCGCCTATTTTCTCCTATTCCGGCTCAACAATCCTCCAAGTTGTCATCTGAGGCACTGAGGCCCTCCTGCTTGGTTTCCGTCAGCACCGCCTCACCTCAGGTGTTGACAGCATCACTATTCATAGATGCATACTCCACTTCACCGAGCCGGTATCTTGCTCAACCCTCAATTGTCTTTTAAAGCCACATCCGTACTATGAACCCTTCTGCCGCTATCTCTCCCCCACCCCCCCCCGACTTGATTATGCTAACTCCCTGCTCGCCAGACGTCCCGACTCTTCCCTCCACAAGCTGCAGGTTACCCAGAACTCTGCAGCGCGTGGCCTCCCCACACCCGGCTCCGTGACCCTATCACCCCCATCCTCACCCAGCTTCATTGGCTCCCCACACCTCAGAAGATAAAGTTTAAAATCCTTGAACTCACTTTCAAAGCTCTCCACGGTCTTGCTCCTCCTGACTGAACCTTCACCAACCTGCCTGCTGCTTGTTTGGTGGGCACTCGCCTGCTCCACACACCCCACCTGGAGCCCCTCCCTTGCTGCCTTCAAGGCCCGTCTCAAGAACCGTACTCTTCAACCATGTCTTCGGTCATCTTCCCATCCCACCGCTATTGCTTTCCACCCCTCTTAATTCCCCCACCACAAGGTACAAACCATTCACTGTCCAGCTACTTGGGACATCCTCCTGACGTGAAAGGCATAATATAAAAGCAATTTGTTGTGGCATTTTGCTGTGAGCAAACTGGCTATGGTATTTGCCTACAGATACAGTCAGTACATTTGACAGTAATTCCTCACAAAGCACTTCAAGATGCTTTGACAATATACCAATCAAATGCAAGGATTATTATTTAATCAGAACAATGCAAGCCTGTGGCCTAATTTTCCAGTCCCACAAGGCTGCATTCCAGTTATAATCCTCGCTGAGACACTTTAAACAAATCAAATGAAGATCAATTATAAAGCCTTTTAGTGGCTAAATGAATATGCAATTCTTAGATACAAAGTAACTAGTGCAGGAAAAGCATTATAATCAACACATTTGTTTAAAAAAGTACAGAAATATTAGTACCAGTCAGATATCATCAAACAATTAATTAATCTTATTGATTACATATGTAATCATTCATGCTGATTATTTTCTAAAAGAAATCTTACATAGCTGCAACCAAATGATTGCAAGGATGGCCATGTTTGTAGAATCAGCACATTAGATTTGACCATTAATAATAAAAACAGACAGATTGAAAACTGTCTGAGGGCAGTATGGTAACCCCCTCCCCTCTTTCATTATATGACCTTGTATAAGCTCAATACTCCAGAGACAAAAAAAACTAGTTATCTAAACCCTGGATTTTTGTCATGTGTCCCTTCTTAAAAAATTGTTTTTAGTTCTATGTCACAGAAACCTGAAATAGAAATGTTAGAACGTAAATAGTTTTAGAAAATGAGACATGGAAGCATATTGTGCTAAGAACTTGTTCACCTTATAAATACAAAGTCTCTATGAAGACAGCAGATGCAGTGTCGGTCTTAATTTTAAAGAGTCTGCACTCTCTCTCCCCCACAATGCACAAGGCAGCAAAATCCACCACCCATAGAAATCAGAAGGCAGGCACCCAAATTAAATGCTCACCATTCAGAAATTATTTCACCCTCAAAATACAGTCAAACCACATTACAATATATTCTGTGAAGCGATTTGAGACGTATCAATGACGTGACAAGACACTATACCAAATGCCAGGATTATTATTATTATACAACCATAGCAATACTATAGCATTCAGAAAGCAAACAAAATATATGTGTAGGTAATCTGTTAAATGTCAACCAACGTGCATCATAACATAAGGATCAACCACACAATCTTGTGATGATAATAATAATCTTTCCATTTGATATAGGGCCTTATTACGTCTCCAAGACGTCTCAAAGCACTTCACAGAATTTACTGTAAAGTGAACTGACTGTGTATTTCGTGGGCGAAACACAAATTGAAGAGAAGCTGGAGGAACGCTTCATTCCAGACACTGCATCTCCTCCAGCTTATTCCCTCGGGTCTCTGCCTTTTCCAGGATGCATCATCATTTAAGTGTATGTATGTGCAATGTGTATATACATATACATGTATGTATACGTGTGTATATACATATGTGTGTGTATATATACACACATATATATAGACACATATACAACATAATACACACACACAGTATATATAAATTGGCTCCAGACCCACTGTGGGGCTCATCCTCCTGGAAATGAGCGTGTGATGGGAGCCACGAACAGCTGCGATAAGGGAGACAGACAGACACAGACACAGACATCACATCACATCAGAGGGGTTCAGGTGGTCCTGGCAACACGTACACAAAAGTGGCGCACTTCCAGCGGGACGTGTGGGGACTTAAATCACACCCAAATCCTCATTGATTTACATCGATGGAGGAGGGGGGAGAGGGGGGGAGGGAAGGGAAGAGGGGGGGAGGGAAGGAAGAGAGGAGGAGGGGAGAGGGGGGAGGGAAGGAAGAGGAGAGGGGGGAGGAGGGGGAGGGAAGGAAGATGGGGGGGAGAGGGGAGGAGGAGGGGGAGGGGGGGAGGGAAGGAAGATGGGGGAGGGAGAGGGGGAGGAGGGGGGGAGGGGGGGAGGGAAGGAAGATGGGGGGAGGGGAGAGGGGGAGGGGAGAGGGGGGGGGAGGGAGGGGAGAGGGGGGGGAAGGGGGAGAGGGGAGAGGGGGGGAGAGAGAGAGAGGATGGTGGGGGAGAGCAGAATATATATAAACATCCCCCCCCCCAACCCCCAACCCCTCTCCTTTAAAACAATACTCACGAAATTATCTCTGAAGTCGCTGTCGGGGCACAAGACGTAGAACGAAACCCCAGGATCGGCGTAGAAATCGAGGCGGCTCTCGGCCTCCTCGGTGGCGATGAGCTCGAACGGGGTGTTATAGCACCATTTGTCTGCAATGTCGACAAACTGCTGGAAATCCATGTTGCGGTGAACACACTGTGTGTGTGTGTGTGTGTGAGAGAGAGAGAGAGAGAGGAGAGAGGCTGCTCTGGCTGGGGAGGCAGTCAGTCAGCCAGTCAGCCAGTCACCGGGGGAGGGAGGGAGGGAGTGATGGAGGGAGTCAGTGAGGGAGGGAGTCAGTCAATGAGGGAGGGAGTCAGTCAGTGAGGGAGTCAGTCAATGAGGGAGGGAGTCAGTGAGGGAGGGAGTCAGTCAATGAGGGAGGGAGTCAGTGAGGGAGGGAGTCAGTTAGTCAGTCAGTGATGGAGGGAGTCAGTCAATGAGGGAGGGAGTCAGTGAGGGAGGGAGTCAGTGAGGGAGTCAGTTAGTCAGTCAGTGATGGAGGGAGTCAGTCAATGAGGGAGGGAGTCAGTGAGGGAGTGAGTCAGTCAGTCAATGAGGGAGTCAGTCAGTGAGGGAGGGAGGGAGTTAGTGAGTGAGTCAATCAGTGAGGGAGAGAGGGAGGGAGTCAGTGAGGGAGTCAGTCAATGAGGGATGAGTGAGGGAGTGAGGGAGAGGGCTGGCGGGTGCCTCACAGGCAGGTCACCAGCCGCCTGTCTGCACGAGCGGGAGCCCCGCACATGGCGCGCGCCGCCCTTTGTTATTGTCCTCGCGCGGGGCGGGGGAGGGAGGAGGAGGAGGAGATGATGATGAGGAGGAGGGAGGGAGGGGTCGTGTGGGAACCGAACACGGCGCCGGCTGTGGCCGCTCTAGAAGCGCATGGTCCCGGCTCCGCTCCCTGTGCCGCTCCGCTCGCCTCTCGCCCTTTATTCCGGATTGCAATGAACGGCCCCTTCGCGGCGCCGCGCTCTGTCCGCGCCCCCGTTCCCGTCCCCGTCCCGTCTCGACCCCGCCCCCACCTCCTCCCCGCCGACCAATGGGGAGCTCCTGCGGCCTGCGTGACGTGACGTGTGACGTACTGCCGAGCTCGCGCGCGCGCGCCCTGAGGTGTCTCTCCAGCTGTGTCTTCAACTGTCATTTTCCCCATCGCTCGTCTCTCGTTTTCTCATCTCTTTCTTCCCTCTCTCTCCCCCTCTCTCTTCTATCTCTTTTCTTCTCCCTCTCTCTTCTATCTCTTTTCTTCTCCCTCTCTCTTCTATCTCTTTTCTTCTCCCTCTCTCTCTCTCTCTTTTTTTCTCCCTCTCTCTTCTATCTCTTTTCTTCTCCCTCTCTCTTCTATCTCTTTTCTTCTCCCTCTCTCTTCTATCTCTTTTCTTCTCCCTCTCTCTTCTATCTCTTTTCTTCTCCCTCTCTCTTCTATCTCTTTTCTTCTCCCTCTCTCTTCTATCTCTTTTCTTCTCCCTCTCTCTTCTCTCTTTTCTTCTCCCTCTCTCTTCTATCTCTTTTTTTCTCCCTCTCTCTTCTATCTCTTTTTTTCTCCCTCTCTCTTCTATCTCTTTTTTCTCCCTCTCTCTCCTATCTCTTTTCTTCTCCCTCTCTCTTCTATCTCTTTTCTTCTCCCTCTCTCTTCTATCTCTTTTCTTCTCCCTCTCTCTTCTATCTCTTTTTTTCTCCCTCTCTCTTCTATCTCTTTTTTCTCCCTCTCTCTTCTATCTCTTTTTTTCTCCCTCTCTCTTCTATCTCTTTTCTTCTCCCTCTCTCTTCTATCTCTTTTCTTCTCCCTCTCTCTTCTATCTCTTTTCTTCTCCCTCTCTCTTCTATCTCTTTTCTTCTCCCTCTCTCTTCTATCTCTTTTCTTCTCCCTCTCTCTTCTATCTCTTTTCTTCTCCCTCTCTCTTCTATCTCTTTTCTTCTCCCTCTCTCTCTTCTATCTCTTTTCTTCTCCCTCTCTCTTCTATCTCTTTTCTTCTCCCTCTCTCTTCTATCTCTTTTCTTCTCCCTCTCTCTTCTATCTCTTTTTTTCTCCCTCTCTCTTCTATCTCTTTTTTTCTCCCTCTCTCTTCTATCTCTTTTTTTCTCCCTCTCTCTTCTATCTCTTTTTTTCTCCCTCTCTCTTCTATCTCTTTTCTTCTCACTCTCTCTTCTATCTCTTTTTTTCTTCCTCTCTCTTCTATCTTTTTTCTTCTCACTCTCTCTTCTATCTCTTTTTTTCTCCCTCTCTCTTCTATCTCTTTTCTTCTCCCTCTCTCTTCTATCTCTTTTCTTCTCACTCTCTCTTCTATCTCTTTTTTTCTCCCTCTCTCTTCTATCTCTTTTCTTCTCCCTCTCTCTTCTATCTCTTTTCTTCCCCCTCTCTCTTCTATCTCTTTTCTTCTCACTCTCTCTTCTATCTCTTTTTTTCTCTCTCTCTCTCTCTTCTATCTCTTTTTTCTCCCTCTCTCTCCTATCTCTTTTCTTCTCCCTCTCTCTTCTATCTCTTTTTTTCTCTCTCTCTCTTCTATCTCTTTTCTTCTCCCTCTCTCTTCTATCTCTTTTTTTCTCTCTCTCTCTTCTATCTCTTTTCTTCTCCCTCTCTCTTCTATCTCTTTTCTTCCCCCTCTCTCTTCTATCTCTTTTCTTCCCCCTCTCTCTTCTATCTCTTTTCTTCTCCCTCTCTCTTCTATCTCTTTTCTTCTCACTCTCTCTTCTATCTCTTTTTTTCTCTCTCTTCTATCTCTTTTCTTCTCCCTCCCTCTCTTCTATCTCTTTTCTTCTCCCTCCCTCTCTTCTATCTCTTTTCTTCTCCCTCTCTCTTCTATCTCTTTTCTTCCCCCTCTCTCTTCTATCTCTTTTCTTCTCTCTCTCTCTTCTATCTCTTTTCTTCTCCCTCTCTCTTCTATCTCTTTTTTTCTCTCTCTTCTATCTCTTTTCTTCTCCCTCCCTCTCTTCTATCTCTTTTCTTCTCCCTCTCTCTCCTATCTATTTTTTTCTCCCTCCCTCTCTCTCTCTTTTCTTCTCCTTCTCTCTTCTATCTCTTTTTTTCTCCCTCTCTCTTCTATCTCTTTTTTTCTCCCTCTCTCTTCTATCTCTTTTTTTCTCCCTCCCTCTCTCTCTTTTTTTCTCCCTCTCTCTTCTATCTCTTTTTTTCTCCCTTTCTCTTCTATCTCTTTTTTTCTTCCTCTCTCTTCTATCTCTTTTTTTCTCTCCCTCTTCTGTCTCTTTTTTTCTCCCTCCCTCTCTTCTATCTCTTTTTCTCCCCCTCTCTCTTCTATCTCTTTTCTGCTCCCTCTCTCTTCTATCTCTTTTTTTCTCCCTCCCTCTCTCTTCTATCTCTTTTTTTCTCCCTCCCTCCCTCTTCTATCTCTTTTTTTCTCCCCCTCTCTCTCTCTTCTATCTCTTTTCTTCTCCCTCTCTCTTCTATCTCTTTTTTTCTCCCTCTCTCTTCTATCTCTTCTTCTCCCTCCCTCTCTCTTCTATCTCTCTTATTCTCTCTCGCTCTCCTGTTTCTAATCTCTCACTCTTATTTTCTCTCTTTATTTCTTTCTGTTTTTTTTTCTCTCTCATCTCACTTTCTCTCCATCTTTTCCCCTCTGTTTCGCTGTGGTTTTTTTCTCTCTTTTCTATTCCTGTTTTTCTCTCTGTATCTCTTTTTTTCTCTTATCTCTCTTAACTTCGTTTTCTCTCTCTTTTTCCGTCTCTCTTTTCTCTCCCTGTCTCTCTGTTTTCTTTCCCTGTCTCTATCTTTCTACATTTCTTTATTTTTCTCAGTCTTGCGTTTGATATAGCGCCTTATCACGTCTTCGATACGTCTCAAAGCACTTCACACAATATACTATAAAGTAGATTTGACTGGATATTTTGTGGGCGAAATTTAGGAAGTCTCTCTCCCTCTATCTCTATTTTTCTTTAAGTCTCCCATTTTCTCTCAATATCTTTTGAGACACCCCACTGTCGTTTCCCATAAAAATGTTTGAATTGAGGCTCAACTTGTGCGACCAAACCCAGGGGCAAAAGATTTCTAGCGTCTGAACCCAGCTGACACCTAGCTACTGTAGTTACCTTCCCTCCATTGGTTACTTAAAAATATTTAACATCAGAAGTACTTTCTCTCAGTTAAATAGAGTGGGAAGGTGAGATAGATAAAATGTATTTCTCAATCTGTATGTCTTGACTTTTGCTTCGATTGGATCCCTTTCGTTTTTGGAAGAAAGGGCGGAATATCTTCACCTGTAATTGACTAAAATTTGAGTTCAGAGGGTTACACGTTTCTTATCTGTTCTTATGGAAGGCACGATCCTGGCCTAGTTGCTGTATAAAGATTTCATTAAGGTTTTGAATAAAGCAGTTGTGGTCCCAAAAATCCAATTTAAAAAAAATCAATCATATCATAATATGTTGATATAGAACATGACCTCATCTAATGTGCCAAAGCCTGGCAATAAACCCTAAAATAAAATATATTATAAAATGCCATCAGCACTTTGGGATATCCTCCCAATGTGACAGGCACTATATCAATTTAAATTCGTCTTGTAAAATAAATTCGAAATCTGTAAGATGTTACAGCCGTTCTGCTGAAGGCTCATACCTGAACTATGTTTCCACTCACCCTGAAAACCCCTCGGTCACCTCCGGGGCACCTTAGGGCTCCATCCTTGGCCCCCCTTCTTTTCCTAATCTATATGCTTCCTTTTGGCGATGTCATCCGCAGACACAGGGAAAGCTTCCACATGTATGTGGATGACACGCAAATCTACTTTGCCTCCCCCAGTGCCAAATCCAGGTCCACCGATGTTCTATCAGCTTGTCTGGCAGACATCAGAGTGTGGACAAGATGGAAGTAATACTCTTTGGCTCCCATCAACGTCTTCACTCCTGCAGATGTGAACTTCTCAACTTCTCAACCTCCCTGGGCTCTCCCTCACACTCACCGAATCAGTGCGCAATCTAGGCATCCGGTTCGACTCCCAACTGATCTTCCTCCCCCACTTCCTCCCTGACCAGGATCCCTTCCTCCACCTCCTCCACATTACCCACCTCCAACCGTACCTTACCCAAAATGCAACTCAAACCCTCGGGCATGTGTTTGCCACCTCCCGCCTGGATTATTCAAACGCACTCCTCGCTGGTCTCCCCAGTTCCATCATTCAAAAAATCCAACTCATTCAGAACTCTGCCGCCCATACACTTACCAAACACGACCCATACACGACCAAACTCCG